GTAGGTTCTTAGTTATCTTCTTTTTCTTATATTGCTAGTGTAGGTAAAAAAGAGGAGGATAAGTGAATATGTTGATGGATTAGATACCTTTTCTATATTCAGCTTTTTTCCAATCCCTCCAAAGGTGGATATGGAGGAAGAAATATATACTCCCTCATTTCAAATTGAATGACGACATTTCTCTTTTAGTTCGTATCAAAATTTTGTCAACTCTAGCTAGAATAAACTATTTACAGAACCACATGAGATACATGCATACACACACAAACACACACACACCCACCCACCCACACACACACACACACACACACACACACACACACACACACATATTCCTTGAAAGGTTCTACAAGGGAACCCCTTTAAAATTGTCCAAGCAATTTTCTCTAGTTTATTCTACAAAACCAAAAAGCTTACACACGACTACACATTCTCTCAATAAATACTTTACAATGAAAGATTTAACCTTCTTCACCAACCTGAAAAATTAACATTAGACATTCAATTTAAAACAGGGAGTAACTTTTACTCTCTTTCCAACCAACCTAAACAGGCTATAACTAAGAATCCTAAACCATCACCTGGAAGAAGTAAACCAATAGCTTTTCCCCCCGTATCTTTTACATCCCCTCACTTTTCCTAAAACCAAATACAATTTAACCAAGCAAAAAGGAAATAACACAAAAATTCCTTTTTCCACCATCTACATTGTTATGCAATGAAGAACAGGTAAAAGAGGATGTGATTATTCATACTCTTCAGCTAAAAAAAAAATTGAGAGAAGAAGAATAGGAAAAGATAAGAATGTTACTGAGCGACATGGACATCGCGGACTTCACGGCCGTGAGCTTTGTAAGTTTTGATGTGAATTCCACGGTGAGGATTCCATAGCCGGATGGTACGATCTTTGCCGCAGCTCAGTGCGTACTCGCCGTTGCTATTGAACCTCGCCGCCAAAACAGCTCCGGCGTGTCCTTCCAGCACATGTACCTTCTGCTTCGGCAGTTGTACAGCGGTCATCTTCGCCGGTAACGGTGCTCTGTAAGAGCAAATCAAACAAATATAATGGGCTTTGTATCACAAAGGTATTTGGGCCTAACATGATATAAGCCCATACACTATTATATAAGACATCATTATACAAATAGTCGGATAGATTTATTGTTGACTTTTTTTTCAGCAGTATGCATACCTTTATTATACATAGTTATATAAATACCATACATATATTATACAGAGAAAATTTCCAAAAATACAATTACCTAAATCAGCCCAAACTTATACCATATATCTTTAACCCAAAACTCAATCCGATATATAATAATATTCATTCGGTATATAGTAATATACAAAACTTTCATATATTTTTCTTTAAAACATGATATACAATATTAGCAAAATAATTATTTTTGATAAATCGACTGAAATGGAGATCGAAGGTGAATTATTCAAATGATTTTTGGAATAAAAATTCAGTCCTATTGAAAGTGGATCGAGTTGGTGGTCTATCCAATTTTTCATGATGGAAAGAAATAGAGATAAGGCGTTTTTGATGTTGTTTTATGAAAGAAAAATTAATAAGAATTTGTTCTTAGAGGTGGCTAAATTATGTAAAGTAATTTTATGAGCTACGCAAAAATGTAACTATATGCCATTTAAATGGTCAGTGAGCGGTTGTTTAGATTAATCACATGAGAAAAAAATAATAATATACAATTCGTTGATAATAGTATCATTTCACAACTAAATTGCACGAAGAGCTATCATATTACATTAAAAGGTATGGTATAGCGGATGAGACTGTTTTTTCCTTAATCAAGGGTCTCGAGTTCAAGTCATAAGTATGGAAAAATCTTTGATAGGATGCGCTTTTCCTCGAATAGATCCCTACGCATCACAAATCCAAATTAATCAGACTCTAATGTGAATATCAGACACCGAGTGATAGAATAAAAAAAAATGAAGTGCTAACATATTCGTGACCCCTTTCTCTCTCTCTTTACATGAGATTAATTTCTCATTCAATGTTCACTTTATTACAAATTTACAATCCCATTATTGTACGTCTTAATCATCCCAAAGGCTTTTGAGTTCCATGCAATAACACCAAATACATAAGTTTCAAAAATGTCATTTACTCAAATAAGTCCCCTCCTCTCCCCCTCTAAACACCCTATAAAATCCCCTAATTAACTTTCAACTTTTCTCATCCTAATTTTCCTTTGGGCTTTGAAATGTTACACTTTCTTCTTAATCATGTTAGCTTATTCAACAATCACAAATTTAAGCCATGTTAATTCATCTAGAGACATACCAATATTCCTTGCAAGACATGATGAATCAAGTACTCAAGGAAGTATAATGGAGTGTTTTAGTGCATTTGCTGAGATAAAATCATGCACAAATGAGATAATTGCTTACTTCACAATTGGCACAATTGATATTGACTTGCCTTGTTGTCAAGCCATTTTTGTCATCACACATCATTGTTGGCCTAGTATGCTTACTACACTTGGGTTCACCCTTGAAGAAACTAATATGTTGAGAGGTTATTGTGATGCAACTCATCATAATGTTTCACCTAATAATTTTGGTCCTGCCCCTTCTCCATTGGTGCTGCCTAATTTGGATATAATAAATGAGTGATAATATTATATGGTTCCAAGTATGCCACTCATGAGTTATATATAGTTTTATCTTTTTAAGTAGTGTTTTTGAAGTGTGTTTTGGGAAAACCTTGTATTTTTCCATAGCTCCAATATAATTATGGTTGTTAATTTGTGAAGATCGATATGGTGTTACCTTATTTTTCTCAATAAATTTGGTTTATGTAATATGTATGTATGTATCTCTCTTATTAAAAATGCTTTTGTTGTTCTATTTCAACGGTTATTTTAGTTCTTTTCGTGTCTATTAAGATAAAACAACAAATACAAAATAGCCCCAAAACTCAATTAGAGACCTGACTTCGATTCATGACCTGACCCCGATTGCGACTCGATGGTGACAATAACCATATTTGTTTAGGCAATGTAGTAATAACAACAATGACAAAACCAAGACGTTGTTGTTTAGTAAAATTTCAACAAGTACATACTAAAATTAGAAAGATATAAGGACTATCTTTTTGCAAACCAATTAAGTTATATCAATAAGCAAGCCATCAATTCTCAAACAATACATAAAATTAATTTGATATAAGATCCCCATACATTACGTTACTAGAGCCCAATTTGCATCAAAGTATATGAAAACTACATATCAAATTTCTTTAATAGAGAAAGCTCAGTTAGTATTTTCTTTATTGCTTCGTCGTCAAGTCTTGCAAGTCCTTTAGGTTGCACCATGGCAATACTTTCTTCAACGGATTTGGGGCAAATATTACCAAGAACACATAGTTCGACTTCAGAAATAGGATAGCTACTAAGAATGTGACGAACTTGTGTAACAGCATGAGGGTTATTATACTGACTGAAACGCTTCACATATTGCAATGACTTTTCAAATACATGAGTAGTTGAATGTTCATCACACATTTTCTCATATTTGTGTTGAAGAATCAATGCTACTTCACTATTCATTAGACATTTACCTTTCAAAAAGTCATCATCAACAAAGTTTTCTTCAAATTCCATCTTTGAGTTCTCTATTTCTTTCGATTGAAAATAACCAGCAACATCCCTATTTATAATAGATACCACCAGGACATACAAATCCTAACTAGACATTAGTTAAATAATTACCAAAAATAACAAATCCTAAATAATTTAGGATTCCTACTATTCGTCGAACAAAAATTTAAATTCCTAAGTTTGATTCCTATTTGGATTCGGAATATTAATTACCTTTTTGTTGCCAACTAATTCTAAACGTGCACAGTTCGTTTTAGTTGATAATTTTACTGCTTTAATATTTATTAGTTAGGTAATAATTTTAAATAGAAATCTTAAACTTTATAATTGAAATATTAGTTTGAACTTGTCTATTTAGTGATATTTTGAATAGTAATATTGTTAGTTCTCCGTCGGATCTCGATTCTGAACTCGAAAACATAATATATTTATACTGACCTCGAAAACATAATATATTTATAGTGACCGTTTATTCTTTTTAAGACCAGAGTTGGACGTGATCATATACAAGACAATTACTTTAATTTTTTAATTAGTTTAGAATATGCGCATTGCACATGTGCATCACTTTAATTAGTGTCTGTTTAAGAGACGTGTAAAAGAGAAATACAATCAATAATTTGAGATGTAGAGACCAATTTTACCGCCTTGCATTTTTGGTCATTTATGAAATCCATTAGTTTATTTGACTTAGAATGAGATGAGAACACCTTGTGATCCTATGGGATTACAAGAAACATGAATTTTTAGATTGATTCAGAACAAGTTCTAGTAGAGAGTTAGACTATTGGGATTTTATCTTATGTACCAAAAAAATTGTTAAGCATAGAAAGTATACTGTATTATATTTTAGATAACTATTTGTTTTAATCACATTTATCTAAATTAAGACTAAATTAAATAGCTAATTCAACTTCTAAATCGATACGAGAGAGTACAATACAAGAGCATACCAACTTCTTGGTGAATTTGTAAAATACATACATATACTAACCAGAAGAGTGTGCTCGATGAGGTTATGAATTCAAGTCATCAAGGGAGCGAAAAGGTGCGAGCGACTAAAGAGGGGTAAGAAAAAAGACTGGTTGTCTAAGTCTCTATGAAATGCCTTTTCCATGTTTTGTTATCAAAGGCCTATACATTTACAAAACATTTCAATACTATCGAAGCTAGACGCCAGCGTTATCACTAGTAGAATTGTCTGAAATCAGTTCTTGTTACCTGCAAGAAAATCAATACACCATCGCCTTTTCAGTTTAAGCACATCAGTGTCTTGCTTCTCCACTGAGTGTTTAGAAGTTGACGCCATTTTGTTGTCTTCAGGTGACACAAGCTTGGGAGGCATCTGATTTTCGCAGTTCACTGGCTCATTGATACTGCACGTGGATACATAAGTTTAACTCGAGCTTATGAACGACTTTATGTCTTTCTTTCCCTCAACTTCAACCCATTTGTCATCAACCCAATCTCTTGAAGTCCTCACATTCTCCCTTTGAGTCTCCAGTAATATGTTCTCGCCTATTATTGAGATAAAAAAACACCTAGTGGCATCAGTCGATGACCAACATCGATCATTTAAAATTAGACAGAAGCAAGAATTCTCATTTTATTCCTTGTTTTCTATTACTAGTTTAACTTTTTAAGTTTTTTGGGACTGTTATTACTTACCAGGGAAGTAAACTTGAAGCTGATCACTTCCACAGACATCAAATCCAGCAACAACACCTTCCCACCATCCGTCAGACCACCAAGCATCAACTGCAGCTCCTACTTCAAAAGAATAGTCAGAAGAATCCACCAGAGGTCGGGGACGAACTGTGAGGCGTCCTGTGCATCTCATGCCCAATTTATCAGAGACTGCGACTTTGTAGAAAGGAATCCATTCCTATAAATCAAGGAGAGGTGATTAGGAAGCAGGGTGAAGGGAGAACGGACAAGTAAATAAGTAGATCATAAATTACAGTCACAATGGTTAAGGTACCTCAAGCTTTTCAGGACCATCACAATCCTGGATGTCATCATATTGAACTTTTAGACGTTTTTGCAATACCTGTAAGACCTTACACCTGAACCAGCAACCTCTCATGCCACTATCGTTGCAAAGAACCTCTAAGTTGTCATCGATTTCAAAAGACAACTTATTTTGAGGCTCAACAAGCTGAATTCCAGCCGGTCTTACGCTTGGAAATTTTATTTTCAACTTCGGGCAAGTTGGTGGTTTGGATTTTGCTATCTGGTTACCAGGAATTGACTTTCTGATACCAGAATGGCTACTCTCATCGACACTTCTACTCCCGCTATATCCTTGCGCTGAAGGATCTTCCCGGGTTATATTTTTTGAGACCTCATCAGATATGTGCCCAGCCATTAAAGCACTTCTTCTCTTTTCGCTTCTTGGGGTATCTACAAGATAACGGAAGTCAAATTCACTTTAATGTAAAGTAGATGAAAGTTGAGATAAATACAAACTTGTGCCCAAAGTACAACAACGCACAGGTTGTGGTTAGAACAAGGAGCAAAAAGTATACTTCCCTTGCAAAAAAAAACACAGTGAAGTAATTACTTAGGAGATTAAGTTCTCATTTATTCTTCAAAACAGGGATTATCCATCTCCGGGATGCACAGAATTACCACCAGCACACCATAAGATGTTAAATTCAGATGTACAACTAAATTGAAAATTCAGCTTGTGCCTGGAAAACTGAAGTCAGGAATAAAAATCCCAAAATAAAAATGGAACTGGAATACCTTTTCACCTTCTCCCACTGCTCCCTGCCCAAAAAACCCACGGGAGGGAGGCTTCTTTACAGAACCAATAATGGCGACATAATTAGTTTCTTTCATGTCAAAGCATAATTAGTTGCTTTGACAAAATGTGAGACGGTTATTAGACCATCAAATTGATAAAGTTAGGACATTTGCAGAACATGGAGCATTGTTGCTTTTAGACATGATTATAAGACATTTGCTGTCTCTAGATTGATCAGGTGTAACAAGCAGCCAATAATCTATGATTAACTTCTTCAACAAATGCTAAATACTAGAAATGAGAGCATTTCATGTACATATACGCCAATAAATACTGCAAATCTCATGTAACTGAAATCTTAGACTGCTACATGTTTATACATACCTGAAATAGGTGGTGATTGGTGATGCTTTGAAATCAAAAACGTCAGCCATTCCTCTACCTCTTTTCTTGTACGCCACTTTGTGTCAGAATTTACGGTACTAGTATGCCCAAAAGCATCCAAATAATCCTCTGAGACAACATATAGTATGTGCCTTGTACTTCTTTCAGTACCCATCACAGCAAGGATTAACTCCCCTGAGGTATCCTTCAAGTAGTAGTGCACAACACGACGGCCCTTCCCCTGAGAAACAACGTGCTCTTCCCACGATATAAACACATGATTATCCGTATCCATCCTGATGCCACAGAGAAACAGTTTGGATTAATCAAAAACAGCCCAGTTCTTAACACCCTCATCCAGAAACATAAACAAACATTTTAGGTAACAATCATTTTGAAAAAATAACAAGAAGTAAAAGAAGTACAAGAAATAATAGATAGATCCAAAAATCAAAGGACAAGAAACAACAGGGGCAATAATATGGCTACTAATTTGAACGGACAGGAAGAGTAATGAGCAAACATAATCCTCCTAAGTTCTGCTACAATTTAGGACCCGGTCGAACACACATAAATAATTGTAATTAAGAGCATCAGATATAAAGAAGAGATTTTTCTAACGATTAGCTTCTGATGACCATATAAACAATGAAAAACAGATCAAACCACAACTTTAAATGAAACAGACAGGATTTAGCAAAATCCAAAGATAAACTTACCTTAATTCCAGAAAACCCTCAATATAACTCACAGCTACAAAGAACAAATATTTTATTTTCAAGAATTACCAACAGAGGACAAAATTCACAATGAAAAACAACAATGAACCCCAATCCCCAGTGAAAAATGAAATCGCTTTGCTGATTTCCAAAGATTAACCATGAACAAGAACAAAAACACAGAACATTGAACCAGCATTGAGCAGACATCAAGTGATCACACTTACATCAAATAGTTTAGTGTTGGGAAAGAAAACAACAAGCAAATGAGAACCTGGAATTCAAGAAAAAAAGCTAAGCACGTAACTAGTGACCTCAAAAATATCAAAAGCTTGTTTGCTTTATGGAGAAACTGAGCTTGAAGAAAAAGCCAGAGAATGCTGAGTTGTTTTTTTTGTTCTACAAGCAGTTAGGGAAAAGGATAGAGTAAAGAGTAAAAGAACAAGAAAAGAAGAAAGGGGGGGAGCCAAATGCAATTGTTGCCAAGTGCCAACACAAGCAGAAGGTTGTTGAGCTCTGGGCTTTTGTTTGAACTTCTTTGTGACATGTTGGAGCAGCAAGAGGGAGAAACACAAAACTGAAGCTTTTTGAGTTTTAGCCTTACACTAACAAAATTAGTGTTACAACAGTTGTCACAGACACTTTTTTCCGAAATTAAACTAAAAAGTCCGATCTCGAATCCGTTTCACGCTCATATCAGGTCGAGCCCGTCGAGGTACAGAAAAAAAGAACCCTGCAAAATTAGATCCAATTTATCATGATTGATTAGACAACATGTTGGTTAACTATATTCTGAAACACAGATAAATATCATTGGCTTATCAAATCACTTATAGAGCCGTGAAAAATATTCAACAAAAGACACACAAATCCACTATCTGTAATAGAAAACTTCAATTTGTTCACAAAATTAATCATATTTTCTATGTGAACGAGGAATATAATAATATTTCATTTGGACTACTAATCGCGCTATGTGAATCTATTCCGGATTGGCAAGACCGAACGGAAGCAGATTGCGCCTTTCCTCTGCCGAGGATTTTCATGAAATGAAAACGGGATACATCGCCGTATGCACCACCTTTTAGTAACAAGGTAACAACAACTGTGCTGAAGCAACAAAACAGGGAAAAAACTCATCGATTAGGAGGTAACAAGATTTGTGAATCTTTGATCTATCCGCACCCATTTCCTTATTAAGCAAAGAGGAAATTGTGCAGCTCAATCAGTATGAGAATAAAGCCATACGTAAGCAAAGAACTATCTGATAATACTAGTGTGTTTCTGCTGCTGATAAACTGTTAGAACATTTTCCACATCTTCTAAAATGAAAAAGAGTGGTAATAGATTTTCAAGAAAAGTAGTCAAACAAACAGGTGAGGCAACATTTTTGGAGAGTCAGAGTTACAAAGCAAACACATACTCAGAGGAAACTTCATAAACTTACAACTTTTATGCATAACTGATAAGAGAGAGTGTACAATACAAGAACATGCCAACTTCTTGGCAAATTTATAAAACACGTACATACTAACCAAAAGAGTGCACTTGGTAGCCAAAAGAGTGCACTTGGTAAGAGGTTGTGAGTTCGAGTCACCAAGGGAGCGAAAAGGTGGGAGCTCCTAAGGAGGGGAAAAAATGAGTGCTTGCCTATAGCTCTATAAGATGCCTTTTCCATTTTTTGTTGTCAAAGACCTGTACATTTACAAAGGCAAATCAAGCACCAGTGAGAGTTACTTATGAGTCAAACTATACCCACAGTGTTAAAAGTATTTCACCATTATCAAGAAGGACTGACGAGTGCTACACGATAGCATTATCGCTTATACAATTGTATGAAATCAGTTCTTGTTACCTGCAAGAAAATCAATATACCATCGTTTTTTTCAGTTTAAGCACATTAGTGTCTTGCTTCTCCGCTGAGTGTTTGGAAGTTGAAGCCAATTTGTTGTCTTCAGGCACCACAAGCCTGGGAGCCATCTGATTTTCGCAGTTCCCCGGCTCATTGATACCGCAGCTGGATAAACAAGTTAAACTCGAGCTAATGAACGAATTTATGTCTTTCTTTCGCTCAACTTCAGCCCATTTGTCATCAACCCACTCTCTTGAAGTCCGCACATTCTTCCTTTGGATCTCCAATAATATGTTCTCGCCTATTATTGAGATAAAAAAACACATTGGGGCATTAGTGCATGACCAACATCGATCATTTAAACTTACGGACAACAAATTAGCCAGAACTTTTTTCACTGATGAGCTAGAAAGCCAATTTATGACAATGCTGAGATTAGACATGAGTTCAACTAAGAAATTAAAATAATAAGAGACTCCAATTTTGCATCCATTGGCAGTTGAGTTATCCTTACGCGAAGTTGCTATGCATCAACTAATAAGTTGGAAATCCGGATATAGATTAGGGGGACTTTTGGCCATTTTCTCAAGAATTCTCCTTTTATTTCTTGTTTGCTGTTTCTATTTTAACTTTTTAGTTTTTGAGACTCTTATTTCTTACCAGGGAAGTAAACCTGAAGGTCACCGCTTCCAGAGACACCAAATCCAGTAACAACACCTTCCCACCATCCGTTAGACCACCAAGCATCAACTGCAGCTCCTAGTTCAAAATAATTGACAGAAGAGTCCTCCAGAGGCCGGGGTCGAACTGTGAGGCGTCCTGTGCATCTCATGCCGAATTTATCAGAGCCTGCAACTTTGTAGGAAGGAACCCATTCCTATAAATCAAGCAAAGGTGATGAGGAAACATGATGAAAGGAGAACGGACAAGTCAATATACGTAAGTAGATCATAAGTTATAGAATATAAAATTAAGTTATAGTTGCATTGATTAAGGTACCTCGAGCTTTTCAAGACTATCACAATCTCGGATGTCGTCATATTGGACTTTCATACGTTTTTGTGAGACTTGTAGGACCTTACACCTGAGCCAGCAGCCTTTCATGCCACTATCATTGCAAAGAACCTCCAAGTTGTCACCAACTTCAAAACACAGCTTATATTGAGGCTCAACAAGCTGAATTCCTACCGGTTCTATGTTTGGATATTTTATTTTTAATCTTGGGTATGTTGGTGGTTTGGCTTGTGCAATCTGGTTACCAGGAATTGACTTTCTGATACCAGAATGGTCACTCTCACCGACACTTCTACTCCCCCTAGGTCCTTGCGTTGCAGGATTTTCTCGGGTTATATTTTGTGAGACCTCATCAGATATGTGACCAGCCATCAAAGCACTTCTTCTCGTTTCTCTTCTCGGGGTATCTACAACATAAAGGAAGTCTATTTTACTAAAAGGTGAAGTAGATTAAAGGTTAGATAAAAATAATTTATAACTACTAGGTTTAACATTCTTTCTACAGAGATCCAATTTTATACAGCATCAACAACTCAAAAATCATAAGCAACTTTGCCGCTTATAGGACAATTTACTGGGGATTCAGCTTAAAGCAAGGACGTTCAAGGGCCTACAATTCCATAGTCGGCTATGGGGTAGATCATCTATCAGGTGTAATCTTAATCTTTATGAGCACATAAGCTTTAAATTCTTCATTCTTCATGTAAATATAACCATCAAGAAGAACAAGGAATTCATTGCTGAAATATGGCAACAATATTATGACAACATTTACTAAGTACATCAAACCAAAGTCTAGTATAGATGATCCCTATCTATAATTGGCTAGTAATTAATTGTTATCTACATGAACATCAAAGCACAACACAAAACATAAACACCAACATCAATTAAGAGCAGAGCATACAGAAGACGTTGAAAAATGCATCAACATTAATAGGATTACCGAACATGAATGATATCAAGGATCACATATAGATGCATAAGGGGAAAATGAAAAAGGGAAGAAAAAGATAAAGAGGAAGATCTAAACTGCATACAACACATTCAACACAATAGATCTTTGCAATATCGAGATATAAAATAAATTGTTCAAGTGAAATTCTATATGAGATAACAAGCAAAGGGAAGACTCATTATTATTACCTTTTTAAGAAGGATGACTTCATTATTCGTTGAATGCTATATAAAACAACCCCATTGCAACAACAACAACATACCAGTGTAATACCACACCATCCTTAACTCTACCTCTCAGAGATAGAGAGACTGTTTTGGGTAGACCCTCAACTCCCTTTCCCCCACCACCCAACTTAAGGGCCAATTGACCTTCTATTTACCCAAGGAAGCGTTTCACCACATGGATCATTTTCTTGCGTTTAACCCCTTTCTTGTTTAGGATGGAAGTTGAAAAGAGGTGAGATTGAGCCCTTGCACGTTAGAGCAAGGATGCCATCAACTTTTATGTGATACCCACAGAAAAGACATATACATGTTATCAAGAAAAAGAAAGGAGAATAGCATCAACACCATACATTCTTTATCGGTTATCTCGCCCATTAACTAGAGCAAGAACTGATTAAACAAAGGCCGAGAACTGTAAACACCCTTTCCCTTTTATGTCAAAGAGCTAAAATCGACTGTATTAGGAAAAAGAAGATATACATTCCATACTTTTATCAGAGAAAACAAGGATGGCATAGTATAGTAGGAAACTCTTATCTTGATTTCTTTTTTTCTCTTTTTCAATTGTTAAAACTTTTACCTCAATCTCTCCGCAAACACTATTAAAAGTGAATATAGAGGAAAGATGGACTCAGAAGGTTAGACACACCATTGAGAATACTAAGATACTAAGTAATGGTTGTATTTATTTTGTGTCTACCACAAGTGTAGTCAAACACGTGGAAGCGAGCGTTTTTGTATAACACAATTCGGTGGGCATTCTAGTATTACATAGTCCCACCCTTACTAGTAATCTAATACTTCAATGGAAAACATTTTCCATCATACCACACACAGAATTAAGAAAGAAACAGCTGCAGGAAGATAGATATTCATCAAAAAAGTAAAAAGCAATGTTAGCGCCAAAACTAATTAAGAGCTTGAAGTTTCCCCTTAAGCAATTCTTTCAAACATTGTCCCGTGCAAATCTTTTAAGGGCCTGTTTGGCCATGAATAATTTTCACTTTTTCTTGGAATTGTATTCCGGAATCATGTTTGGACAAAGAATTGCTAGAATATACACCCTCTGTCCCAATTTATGTGACACTTTTCATTTTTTGAGAGTCAAACAGTTTAAGTTTGACTGAAACTTTGTGCATAGAATCGTCAGTTTTTTTTAAATGAAATTTATATATTTGTAAACTACGTAAAAAGTATTATAAGTCACAATAATTGGCAATTCAAAATAATTAAAAGATATATGAAAAATTTACTGTCAAAGATACACTTGTTTGAATCTCGAAATCTGAAAAGTGCCACATAAATTGGGACGGAGGGAGTACATGTTTTCACATTTTCACTCCAAACCACTCATAAAAATTCAACATTTTTCCAAGTTGTATTCACATCCCAAATACAACCTCAATTTCTAATTACCACTTTAAAACTTTTTATCAAATACTACTTCTTTTTTTTTTACGAATTTCACATTTTTATGTCCAAAACATCCACTAAAATAGTATTAGCCCTACTAGTATCTAAGTACGGATGGAAACTCCCTCCAAGGGCAGAATTAAAATTTTGGTTACAGGTTTGGCATGACTAATAGCTTTGGTCCAAATCCGAGATTTGCGTTTAAATATTCCTTGAATATGTACAAATTATTAATTTAGAAACCAATAACTTAGAAAGATTAGAGCCCAAACCCACAAACTTAAAATCCTGGCTCTGCCTCAGAGTTTCCCTCTGCCCCCACAATAAAAGCTTATGGACACCGGCAAGTAGATAAGATGAACTATAGATAAGACCATGTTTTATGAGCTTACCACCTTCTTTTATGCTTTTTCTCGAAGAAAATGACCTAGTTGAATCAGCTATATGAATACTATATATCAATTCACCTTTATACAGACCTTAATCCAATATCCAAAGGATTCATTTGAGATGAATTTTAAACTGGTCCTCCACCTAGTAAAACCCTCTTTGGATCTTCTTGTTTATCCGGGTTTGGAACCGGAGATGTATGGGAAAACTCACATACGCAGAGTTCCCATACAATTTTAATAGATTCATAACATTGCGAATTAAAAATAGTATCTTTTCACCATTAGGATTCTCCTTTACCATTTATACTATAGCTTTCTATTAATTGCAGCCCAAAACCTAGACATTAGGAGCTTCTTAATCATGAGAACAAACCAAATTATGAAGCATGAAGTAAGATTGCTGTGGATCTTCTTAAAATAGCTCACATATAAATCTTCTTTAAATTATTTAAGATAGACAATATGTCATCTTACTTAAAAAAAAAAGAATTTCTCTGATGATGTTAATGACATCAAAAGAAAAGGAGTTTCCTAGTGAGGTGTCAATTTCATATTGATTAAAATATGATTCAAAACTTAAAATGTAAGGATGCGCAAAATTTTATGTTGGCTGCTATATATGAATAATAACAACACCAATAGAACGATAAGAATTGCGCTCCAACATCTAAGTGGTTTGGACTTGTGTGCAGTTGTTCGATACATGTGCGAATCTAGAGATCGGACCCTTCATGATCTAAATTTTAAAATTTAGGGGTATGGGTCTAAGTACAGATACGGGTGCAGGAATTTGGCTAAAATAATTCAAATATCTGAAAGTAGAGTTTTAGATTCAAATTATAAGGCATTACATGGAAATCTTACAAGTTGTTATGACAAAAACTTATTGATCAAAAGGAAAATTCTAGAAGGAGATATAAGGAAAGAAACTAACATAGATATTTCTATATACAAAACACTCATTTTATTCAATTTCACCTTAGCTTTTGTTTTGATTATAGAAATCATTATATCTATCCCAAATTTCTCTGTTGACTCAAAGTCTCCAAAATTAGTTGACCAATTCGGATCTCACACTCACACCCTATGCTACTCGGACTCTTCAAAAATATCAATGGGTGCATGTTGGTTTCTCCAAAAGCTGTGCATTTTTGAAGAATCTGACACGGGCGCAACATCAAAAGTGGAGAGTCCACGCAACTTAGCCCACACCCATACCATGTCGACATGGGTGCAACATTGAAATTGAAAAGTCCAAGCAATTAAGTAATGTGAGTACATCCGGTTCTTGGTCCGTATGTTGTGTAATGTGTTAGGTAATAATGTATCTCTGCACTCTAAGTTTAAAAATTGATGTATTGGATCCATGAGCAATTGCTTCTAATCCAACTGATTATTACATATTTCACTTACAAAATGTATATTTGATTTAAGCAATTTTTCTCTCTAGTCTCCATACACATGTTGATAATCACCTACATCAATGAAGAACGGGAAGCAAAACGCTATGTCGGGACAGGGGACGGAAAAAGAAACAATTTTGAAGAAAAAAATTAGGGTTCCCAATGCTTCTCCATGTTCAATGAGATGCGCCAACCTCAGGATGCTTTACTCCTAATACCACAAGGTTCTGATACGGAGCTTAACATGAGTCTTGGTTAAGAACAGAGATGATATAACTTTTACACGGAACACGATTCCATGGATAGTTTCATCCGAGATCGTGATGGAGGATATACCTTACGATCATCGTTTTTGCTTGACTATAGGAAATGTATTTCTTTATTCTTGATAACAAAAATAAAGCAAACTTGATGAATATTGTTTATATAATAGAGAATAAATTTAAATTTAAAAGATTGAATAGTAGTCCAGCTGTCTTAGTTAGATGGTAAGAAGTATAGAATGAAAAAAACTAGCAAATATCATTTAATCGGATAATTTAATCCTAACATAATGAACAACGTTTACCCTTAATCTCCTCATCTTCATTGAATATTACAAATCTTACAATTCATTGCTACCACTAGGCCATACTCTGTGGAGCTAATCTCGTAATTTTTGTAACTTGATAGTAGTGAGGAAACCTATAATATGTATGACTATTTGTCTATTGCCTGGCGAAGAGAGTACAGAAGAGCCTCTCAACAAGGGCAGGACAAAATACCCTGTGAAGGTTCCTTTTTAGGTGGTTTGCTTTTCTTGGCTCATAGAAAGAAATGCTTGCCTCTCACAGGATAAAGTTCAAAGAAGGGAATTTCAACTGTGTTCTAGATACTTTTTGTGCTGCTAGGGAAAATAACAGTCACTTATTCATTCATCGTCCTGTTACTGGGAAATTATGGTGACTATTCTTGAAAATGGTAGGAATCAGATAGTCAATGCCAGCAACAAGGGTTGATTTATTGAAATGTTGGAATCAGAATGACGGGGCAGTTAGTCAAAAAAAGTTGGTGGAAACTTGTCCTTACTTGAATATGGTGGACCATTTGGAAGTAGATGAAGACAAATACAATTTTGTGCAGAAAGTCAAGATGAATTGTATTTTTGTTTCATTTTTGGTATAAAGCAAGCTATGTTGAGGAGGCTGAATCACTAGTTGACATGATAGGATCCTTGTGAAGAAATAGCCTAAGCTTGGTTGGGATTTTGTGAAGTCTTTTTGCACTGTTATGGTGCAACTTTAATAGATACTGGTAGATAATGTTAAGACGTCACAAGATTAGCCATAACTATTGTTCTATATTAAGTTTTTGTTTTGATGATATAAGTTGTTGTATTGAAAAGGCATCAAGGGGATGCATGAAAGATAACAGATCAAATGGTTATAACTCCAAACAACGCAAACAAAACAAGTAAGAGCTGGGGGTTAAGAACCGAAAGCAAAAAGTTCAAGGCTGCTAATCCACTGAGAGGGAACTGATGAAATTTAGAAGGGGGATGATATCAATTACAGGGGAAAGGTTGCTCCAGCTATAAAGATTCAACAAACACTAAGATCTCAGAGAGCAATTGGGAGTTAAAATCCATCATTACATCTTTTATTTCTTTCCATCCATAAATACCAAAAAATGCAAGCTGGGATCATCTGCCAGATCTTGTTGATGTTCATGTCACTTTCCATGAACTCCAACTTTCAAATGCTCGTTTTAGGTTGAGGGTGGTTGTCCAGCTAATTCCAAAAAATTCCAAAAACATAGTCAAAGGTCAGCTGCCTCAAGGCAATGCAATAGCAAGTGGTTTACAATCTCTAAGTTGTTTTGGCACATAAAACTCATGTTCACCACTGGAATGACTCTTTTTCTCAGGTTGTCCTGGGTTAAGATGGCATTGTGAAGGGCAGTCCAAGGGAAACCCTTAACTTTTGGCCATGGTTTTATATTCAAATGATTGTATCATGTTTTCACTGTGAAGATGCCTCTCTTTAGGCCCCCCTCTCCCCCCCTAGGTTAAGATGGCATTGTGAAGGGCAGTCCAAGGGAAACCCTTAACTTTTGGCCATGGTTTTATATTCAAATGATTGTATCATGTTTTCACTGTGAAGATGCCTCTCTTTAGGCCCCCCTCTCCCCCCTAGGTTAAGATGGCATTAAATGCTTATTATATTTAATATGTGTTTCAACAATTAAACGGAACAGTTGAAGTCCAAATCACATAGTAATTTAGGCTTTAGGATTGAATGACTCAAAATATTATACTAAACCAAAAACCTGTGTGCTGCACATTTATAAGTACAACAACACAGAGGAGACTGTGGTTAGAACAAGGAACACAAAGTATACTTTCCTTGCAAAAACAAAGCATACTGAAGTAATAACTTAGGAGGATAAGCTCTCATTTATTCTTCAAACAAGGATTATCCATTTCTGTGATACAAAGAACTACCATATCAGTACACCACTCTAGGTAAAATCTAGTTGCACAACTAAATTGAAAATTCAGCTTGTGCCTGGAAAGCTGAAATCGAGAACAAAAGTCACAAAATAAAAATGGAACTGGAAATAACTCTTCACCATCTCCCACTGCTCTATCCCCAAAAAAAACCATGGGAGGGAGGTTTCTTTGTGGAAACAATAATCACGACATAATTTAGTTTCTTTCCTGTCAAAGCGTAAGATTCTTTCATCTACAAACTCATTAAAAAGGGATCTTTCATCTTCATATTAGATTAGCAAAGCACTGTAGCGAATGAATAGTTCAAAAAAAGTGAGACTGATATCAACCCATCAACTTGATAAAGTTTGGTCATTCGCAGAACTTGAACATAGTTGCTTTTAGACATGATCACAAGACATCTGCCATCTCTAGATTGATCGGGTGTAGCCAACAGCCAATATTCTATGATCAACTTCTTCAGGAAATGCTAAATACTAGAAATGAGAGAATTTGATGTACATGTACGTCAATAAATACTGCAAATCACATGTAACTGAAATCTTAGACTGCAACATGATTATACATACTTGAAATAGGTGGTGATTGGTGATGCTTTGAAATCAAAACTGTCAGCCATTCCACTACGCCTTTTCTTGTACGCCACTTTGTGTCAGAATTTATGGTACTTGTATGCCCAAAAGCATCCAAATAATCCTCTGAGACAACATATAGCATGTTCTTTGAGCTTTCTTCAGTACCCACTACAGCAAGGATTAACTCCCCTGAGGTATCCTTCAAGTAGTAGTGCACAACACGACGACCCTTCCCCTGAGAAACAACGTGCTCTTCCCACGAACTAAATACATGACTATCTGTATCCATCCTAATGCCACAGAGAAACAGTTTGGATTAATCGAAAAATTGCCCAGTTCTAAATACCCTCTTCCAGAAACATAGAATCAGTTTAGGCTAAAGAATCATGAGCAAACATAATCCTCCTAAGTTCTGTTACAATTTAGGACCCGATCAAACAAACATAAATGATTGTAACAAAGAACATCAGATACAGAGAACATATTTTTCCAACAGTTAGCTCCTAATGATCATATAAAAAATAAAAAAAAACATAATCAAACCACAACCCCAAAATGAAACACAGACAGAATTTTGCTTAATCCAAAGATAAACCAACCTTAATTCCAGAAAACTCTCAACAGCTCAGCTACTAAGAACAGATAAACTTTTTCAAGAATTACCAACCAAGGATCAAATTCACAATGAAAAACAACAATGAAGCCCAAACCCAAGTGAAAAATGAAATAGGGTTTGCTGATTTTCAAAGATTAATCACGTACAAGAATAAAAACACACAATATTGAACCTGCATTGAGAAGACATCAAGTGCTCACACTTACAAGCAGCAAAAAAGAACCCAGAATTCAAGAAAAACAAGCCAAGCACGTGACTAGAACAAAAACACTTAAAAGAGAAATGTGTTTGCTGATTTCCAAAAAGATTAACCATGTACAAGAACAAAAATACAGAACATTGAACCAGCATTGAGCAGACATCAAGTGATCACACTTACATCAAATAGCTTAGGATTGGAAAAGAAAACAAGCAGCTAAAAAGAACCTGGAATTCAAGAAAAACAAGCTAAGCACGTAACTAGTACTGACTGATCTCAAAAATAGCAAAAGTTTGTTGCTTTATGAAGAAACTGAGTTTGAGAAAAAAGCCAGAGAATGCTGAGTTGGGTCTTTTGTCTACAAGAAGTGACAGTTAGGGAAAAGGATTGAGTAAAGAGTAAAAGAACAAGAAAAGAAGAAAGAGAAGGAGGTAGAAAAAGCCAAATGCCATTTTTGCCAACACAAGCAAAAGGCTGAGCTCTGGGTTGTCACTTCAACTTCTTTGTGACATGTGGAAGCAACAAGAGGGAGAAACACAATACTTAAGCTTTTGAGTTTTAGCCTTACACTAAACAAAATTAGTGTTACAACAATATTAGTCACAGAAAATTTATTCCAAAATTAAACTAAAAAATCCGATCTTGAACCCGTTTCATGCTCATGTCAGGTCGGGGTTAGTGAAGAAAGAAAAAACCTGCATGCTCATGTCAGGTCGGGGTTAGTGAAGAAAGAAAAAACATGCAAAATTCGATTCATTTTATCGTAATCGATTAGTTAATATGTAAGTTAAATGCATTTTTAAACATGAAAAATATCTTTGACTTATCAAATTATCTGTAGAGCTGTGAAAAAAATTCAACAAAAGACGAAAACAAATCCACTTCCGTAATAGAAACTTAAATTTCTTCACAATATTAATCATATTTTCTGTGCCAACGAGGAGTATAATAATATTTCATTTGGACTAATAATCTCTATGTGAATCTCTTCCAGATCGTCCAGGCCAAATGGAAGCAGAATGCGCCTTTCCTCTGTTGAGGACTTCCACGAAATGAAAACGGGCAAACATCGATGCTCCACCTTTTAGCAACAAGGTAATGACAAGTGTGTTGAAGCCACAAAACAGGGACAAAATTCATCGATTAGGTGGCAACAAGGTTTGTAGGTCTTTGATCTATCAGCACCAATTTCTTTTTTTGAAATAGGTAACTTTGTATTCACACAAAAGACCTCATCAAAATCGATGAGGTGGGATTTACAAACCCCCAGGGGGTGCCATCATACTCAAATCCAAAAAGACAAAACTAACTTTACAATTGGCTTTTAAACTCCACAAGGCTATCTACTTCCCCCACTAAATTTTGCTTACACCAAAAATACAAAAGACTAAGGCATTTCATCTTGATCTCCTCTGGGCAGCTAACCTTTCCTTCAAAACATCTCCCATTCCTTTCCTTCCATAGTGTCCACCATATGCAAGCAGGGATATTTTTCCACCAATCTTCTTTTGATCCTCTCTTTCCGATTCCTTGCCAGTGTGTTAGGACCTCAAAAGTGGTTCTGGGCATTTGTACAGCCCAATTTCTTTTTTAAGCAAATAGGAAATTGTACAGCCCAGTCAGTACAAGAATAAGGCAGATTAAGGTATTTATGTAAGCAAGAACTATCTGATCATACAAGTGTGTTTCTGCTGCTGATAACTTGCAGTTCCTTGTTAAGTTGTATGAAATTTCAAACATGCGATGAAATGCAATTTTGAGCCGAGGGTCTATCCAAACAGCCTTTCTATCCCACAAAAGTAAAAAGGGGGTAATAGTTGCATACATCTTACCCTCCTCAGACCCCACTTGTGGGATTGCACTTGAGCCCACCTCACGCCCCAAAAGACCAGTCCTTTATGATATTGCAATTGTAAACAGCTCTAATCAGCAAATTTTGAATTGATTAATTAAGAGTATTAATTATCAATTCAGCTATGAGGCCGTTCCGTAAAACTAAAAATAAACAGTGCATTACTTGAAACAATCAGTATATAAGACAAGACAAAGAATAATAGGTAAAGGAGAAGGGGGTTTGACAAAATAACTCGCTGAATACATCAACTGGTGTTTGAATAAAAGGGACTACAAATTTGACTTTCTATTACAACCAAATACTATAGCAATGACAACAAACAACATACTCAGTGTAGTCCCACAAAGTGGAGTCTCAGAGGGAACAATGTATGCAGACATTACCCCATACCTCAGAAGTGGAGAGGTGGTTTTCGGTAGACCCTTGGCTCAAATACCATTGCAATGCGCACTTAAATTTTCCCACTAGGTCCAACACATTTTTAACAATTAAACTAAATTAAGCATAGAAATTATACAGCTTTTAGCCAAACAACAAAAATGTGGTTAACAAAAGAACTCACCTCATCAACAACATCCATCTACTTTGAAGGCTTTTGAATTCTTCCTTTGTTGGCAATTCGCCTTTTGTGTTCGATTTGAATGCTAGGGTTATTTTATATTGTGGAGGGAGTGCGTGCACGTGAACTACCCATGTACCTATCTCCACTAACACAATAGCAAAAACATCATGGGGTGGGTGTTTTGATACCGTCATTTAACTTGTACTCATCTTTTAAAATTTTTTGCACATATACCATTTCAGAAATGCCATGTCTGAAGTTAGACTAGACAAAATCAAACTTCAGACATAGTGTCTAAAATTTTATGCGACTGAAATTCTGGTAAAAATGGTTGAGCTTTATCATATATGTCCAAAGACCTTTTCTAGGTCTTTGTACTCATTATGTCTAGCATTGAATAGACCGAATATTCACCCTATCAAGATCTCAAATCAATGATGAGGTCTGGTTGACACCTCCTAAATGGGTGTCCAAATTGGACTGAATCCTTTGTCGGGCTATGGTTCCGTCAAAGATATGGAGTAAGACATTGATTTCTCAATAAGACCATTTTTTTATTGTATGATGAACCCGGTGGAAAGTACAGGAACAATTTTGTCCCTTTTTTCTGTAATATGAATTACAAGCCACATAGTCAAAAGAAATTGATAACATTGCATCCAAAAGATCAACCAACTAAATTTACTAACAAAACAACTCAGCTAGTGGTAAAAATGTGAGAGCTTTTTGCCAACATAGCAAACACATACTCAGAGCCGGAAACTTCATAAAGTTAAAACTTTTATGCATAACCAATAAGAGAGAGTGTACAATACAAGAGCATACCAACTTCTAGGCCAATTTGTAAAACTTATACATATAGTACCAAAAGAGTGCGCTCAAATGGTAAGCACCCTCCACTTCCAACCCTGAGGTTGTGAGTTGGAGTCACCAAGAGTGAAAAGGTGGGAGTTCCTAGGGAGGGGTAAAAAAAAAGAGTGCTTGCTTATAGCTCTTTAAGATGCCTTTTCCAAGTTTTTCTGTTAAAGACCTATACATTTACAAAGGCAAATCGAGCACCGTTGAAAGTTACTTACAAGTCAAAATTTACCCAGTGTCAAAAGTATTTCACCATTATCAAAAAGAACTAACAACTGCTAGACGCCAGAATTATCACTTGTAGAATTGTCTGAAATCAGTTCTTGTTACCTGCAAGAAAATCAATACACCATCACTTTTTCAGTTTAAGCACATCAGTGTCTTGCTTCTCAGCTGAGTGTTTAGAAGTTGACGCCATTTTGTTGTCTTCAGGTGCCACAAGCTTGGAAGCATCTGCTTTTCACACTTATCAGGTTCTTTGATACTGCACTTGGATACATCAGTTAAACTGGAGCTTATGAACGACTTTATATCTTTCTTTCCCTTAACTTCAAGCCATTTGTCATCAATCCAACCTCTTGAAGTCCTCATGTTCTTCCTTTGAATCTTCAATAATATGTTCTCGCCTGTTATTGAGATAAAGAAAAACACCTTGGGGCATCAGGCCATGACCAACATTAATCATTGAAAATCCAAGACAACAAATTGGCCAGAAGCAAGCTCTATTGTTTAAAGTTTTTCCACTGCTGAGTTAAAAAGCCAATTTATGACAATGTTGAGCTTAGACATATGTTTTGAAGTAAGAATTGAAAATAATTAGAGACTCCAATTTTTCATTTATTGGCTGTTGAGTTATCCTTACGCGAAGTTGCTATGCATCAACCAATAAGCAAGAATTCTCCTTTTATTCCTTGATTTCTATTTCTATTTTACCTTTTTAGTTTTTTGGGACTGATATTTCTTACCAGGGAAGTAAACCTGAAGAAACCGCTTCCACAAACATCAAATCCAGCAACAACACCTCCCCCTATCCATTGGACCACCAAGCATCAACTACAACTCCTAGTTCAAAAGAAAAGTCAGAAGAATCCTCCAGAGGCCGTGGACAAACTGTGATGCATCCTGTGTATCTCATGCCCAATTTATCAGACCCTGCAATTCTGTAGGAAGGAATCCATTCCTACAAAATCAAGCAAAGGTGTTGAGGAAATAGGGTGAAGGTACAACGGACAAGTCAATATATGTAAGTAGATCATAAGTTTTAGTATATTAACTTAAGTTATAGTAGCAGTGGTTAAGGTACCTCAAGCTTTTCAGGACCATCATAATCCTGGATGTCATCATATTGAACTTTCAGACATTTTTGTGATACCTGTAAGACCTTACACCTGAACCAGCAGCCTCTCATGCCACTATCGTGGCAAAGAACCTCTAAGTTGTCACCAACTTCAAAAGACAACATATATTAACGCTCAACAAGTTGAATTCCAACCGACCCTATGCTTGGAAATTTTATTTTTAACTTTGCGTAAGTTGATGGATTGGCTTTTGCTATCTGGTTACCAGGAATTGACTTTCTGATACCAGAATGGTCACTCTCACCAAACTTCTAACAAGGATAGACTTGCATATCGCCCCTCGTCCAAAACGCCATGGAAAATAACTCTGAGCAATCGGTGGGTCAGTGGTTGGGTACCCAGCGCTGCATCTCCTTGAGCAGCAGCAAGAGCAGTTGGAGATGTTCTGGACCTATCCAGGAAATGGAGCAGGTTAACGATTTTAAGAACCACCTACTTCCCCTTTCTCGCATCAAGAAGATCATGAAAAAGATGTCCTCATGATCTCAGCTTAACATAAGGACATTCCAGCTTGTGCCTGGAAAACTGAAATCGGGAACAAAAATCACA